TGCTGCCAGCGACGCCCGGCAGGGGGCGCAGGGCCCACCCTTTGTCGCCCCAGGGGGGGGGGGGGGAGCGGGTCCGAAGGGGTCAAGTCGGGCATGTCGTTCTACAGGAGGGATATTCCAGATTTTGTAATAAAAGGGAGGGGGTCTGGACCCTCCAAGACAAGCCATTTCAGACCCCCCCCCCCGTGGGAGAACCCTCCAAAACATCGTCCCCAGACCCCCCCAGGCCCTCCAAGATAGCCTGGAAGAGACCCCCCCCCCGACATGAGACCCCCTCCCTTTTATTACGAAATCTGGAGTATTCACAAACAGTCAAAACATAGTCTGGGGACGATTTCTACTATGTTTGCAGCTTTTTGAACATGAGAAAGACGAGGAGGAGGAGGAGGAGTGCGAAACGAGGAAGATGAGGAGGACGAGGGAGGAGGCAGGAAAGGAGGATGGAAGGACCAGGCGATGACAAGCAGGCTGCGAATGCGGGTGTGGGAGATATGTCGTTGTGAGCGGTCTTTGCAGGACTGCGGGGGCTCTCTTGGGGTACACATGGGTCCTTTTGAGGCATTCGTGTGGCCCTTTTGGGGCTCGTGTTGGGGGTCTCGGGGCCCTCTTGGGGCCCATTGGAGGGGTCTGAGAGGCCCCTTGGACCCATGGCTCAAAACCAGGGGGGGGTCTTAACGAATTCGGGTCCCCCCCTCGGAGGAGCCCCCTTGGGCCGCTCTAGGAGCGCTCTTGGCACCCTCTTGGGGCTCTCCTGGGCTGTCTTGGGGCCATCTTGAGGCCTCCGAAGCCCATCGGGCGCGAACAAGCGAGAAGGCATCAATTATTGATTCGGCGGGGGGGTTCGGCGGGTTCGGAAACCGGAGGGTTCTCGAAGGGGGGCGGGGGGTCCTCGAAGGGTTCGGCGGGCACTGGAAACCGTTTTGGGGCGATATTGCGGCATCGTGGATATGCGCCGTTGGCCATCTTGAGCCATCTTGAGGCATTTTGACCCTACTTGGAGGTTATCTTGGGCTCGCTGAGGCCCTCTTGGAGAAATCCTGGACCACAAAAACTCCCTCTGACACCTCGCCCTCCCACTTCCAGACCCAAGCGGGAGGATAGAGAGAGGGGTCAAGGCACCCTCCTAGATAGCAAGCTGTCTAGCTCACTCCCGCCCGCCCTCCCAACACATAAGTAACACCCGAACCTCAGCATGTTCAGCGCTCGTCTTTGGATGGGCAGCTACTGGGAACAAAAACCGACCCCATATGCGCGACGCTGGGGCCCAAGCGTGCCAGGCACGTCTGGTGCACCAGATGTGCCTCGTGTTTCACGTGTGCCATGTGTGCTGCATACTCCAGCCGCGCCAGGTGCGCCACGTTTGGGGCACGTGCAGAGTGTGTCAGGTGCGCCTGCGCACGTGGCAGCACACATCGGGGAACAAGTCGGTCCCCACCATCCTTGTCGAAAACCAATGCCCATCCTTCTGTCTGGTGAGCCTACGCATAGCAGGCCATACCCCGCCACCCCCGCCGTCCCTGTGAAAAACCATTCCACACTGATCGCGGGGTGGCTGCGCATGATCCAGATTTATCTGCGAGGTGCATGTTGCATCGTTTCTTGATAGGGGTCGTGCCCCTGCGCACAGCAGACATTGTGCTGACACACCCGCCGTCCCGATCGAAAAACATACAAAGTGCTCGCGGGCCTCACCAACATGATTCAAGAGTTTGCCCCAAGGTGTAATGTGTCTTGTTTGTTGACTGGGATGGTGGGGGGCGACCGCACCAGGTTGGTTGCGCATGCTCCGAATGTGGAGGCAGAGTGCGTTTGGGATTGTTTTTGACAGGGATGGTGGGGGGGTGGGTGAGCATGGTGTCCTCATTGCTCCTGGCTGGTTGCCGGTCGCCTGGGGGGGGGATGTATTTTCATAGGGAACAGTGATACATCCCTCCTCCAGAGCAGGGGAAGGAGGGATTGCGGAAGAGAGGAGACACAAGTTCATTAAACCATTTACGCCCAGAGGGCTGGTGGGATTTGGGCCTCGGCTGGGACACCCTTGCAATACGTTTCGAAAGCAGAGGAGTCCAGGGGGCCAAACAAGCAAACCGTCTGAGGCATCTCCACAATAGTCGCGCGAACGGGAGAGTGTCCTACCCCCTGGCGGCTCCCCCTTGCGGCGCCCAAACAAGCAAGCAAACCGCTTGAGACATCTCCACGATCTGGCCGCGAACGGGGGAGCGTCCTACCTTTGAACAGCTCCACCTTGGAGTGTCCAAATGCAACGCCTGCTAGGCGCCAGTGAGCATTGGACGAGCATTCGACCAGCATTGGACCAGCATTCGACGGTTCCGTGTATTTGGTTCAAAACACACCGTAGCCAAGGACTTGACCCATATCTGCGAGCTGTGCTTGGGAGCGTGACTAATTGACGCAGCGATGTCGGAGACGAACGATCCTTGCAGGGCCAGCAGTTCTGTTGCGCGGCTTGCGAACACATCTCGCATCCTCGGTCGGTATTTTCTGGTGCCCCCTCCGACGGTTACCTGGCCGGCTCTCTTGCACACGGAAGAGGAGGAGGAGGAGGAGGAGGAGGAGGAGGAGGACGGGAAAGAGGGACCAGGGCAGGATCAAGAGGAAAAGAAACACACAGACACAATTAATCCTCGATTCCCCAGAAAATATGCGAAAATCTGGGAAGTGGGGGGGAAGACAGAAAACCAGAAAATGTGGGAACATGTGGTGAATATGTTTATTTGTGTGTATCTATTTGTGTGTCCTTGGGCCCCTTCACAGGAGAGAGGCGAGCAGGAGCCGGGCGATCGCAAACGTGGATCAAGGGGGCGTGGATTAGATGCTTAGCGACGGGTCCCGCCTCCACGCGACATCGCGGCGTCCCGCCGCCGAGCGAGGCGGCACCGGCCGCATTTCGGGGAGAGCACCTCGATCCATGGATGTGACGACGGCGCGCCGAGTCCCTGGATCGTCAATCCATGCTTGCGCGCCCCCGGAGGAGGAGGAGGAGGAGGAGGAGGAGGAGGAGGAGGAGGAGGAGGAGGAGGAGTGGGAGAGGAGGGAGGGAGAGGAGGGAGAGGAGAGGAGGAAGGAGGAAGGAGGAGGAAGGAGGAGGAGGAGGAGGAAAGGAGGAGGAGGAGTGGGAAGGAGGTGGAAGAGGAGGAGGAAGGAGGAGGAAGGAGGAGGAGGAGTGGGAAGGAGGAGGAGGAGGAGGAGGAGGAAGGAGGAGGAAGGAGGAAGGAAGGGAGGAGGAGGGGGGAAGGAGAAGCAGCCACGCCGGCACAGGCCGCCCCGGGTGTACCAACCAGGCGAGCGCCGGGGCGCGGCGGTCGGGGCCCAGGGCGGGCCTCTCTCGTCGGTCCCGCGCGTCTTCCGTGCAGTCTCTGCAGCCGCCAGGTGTGACCGTCCCCCCCCCCCCGCCCACACAGGGCGACCGCCCCTCGTCAGAGCCCCGAATCATCAGGGGTAACTCGGGTCAGGGTTAACTCGGGTTCGTGTTTCGGGAATCCAAACCCGAGTTACCCTGGACCCGAGTTGCCCCGGAGAACTCGGGCGCCCAGAGCCCCACATCATCAGGGGTAACTCGGGTCAGGGCTAACTCGGTTTCCTTTTCCGGGAATCCAAACCCGAGTTACCCCGGACCCGAGTTACCCCAGATAATTCGGGCGCCCAACCTCGGGGGGGTGGCAGCATCCCTGATTTCTTGAGCATGGTTGGGCATTCTTGGTGCATGTTTGTGTATGTTTTTCGTGCAAAGTCCACCCGACCGAACCGAACCCTGATCGGATCAGTGCCAGCAGCTTGAGCGACGCAAACAAAGAGGTCGTCTACGCCGACATTGGCGCGTAAGCTGCCCACACAAAGTTGCGCGTAGGCGCCTCGTCTCCAAAGTAGCGTGCCGCGCTGGCGGCCCGCGTAAGCCACCGCGTAAGGTCGCGACGTCATCTCGCGTAGGACCCGTTTTTGATCGTCGTTCAGTTGGCGCGGCAGCCAGAGAGGGACTGAAGGAGATCGATCAGGGCCCCAGAAACCAGGAAGTTGCAGGCCAGGGCAGTGCAAGATCCAGCGGGGCGGAACGAAGGACGGAGAATAGTTCGACCACCAGCGTTGCAGGTTAGCCCAGGGGACCTCGACCTCTTCCCTGCGACTGCTTTTTCCTCCTGCGAGGTTTTCGACGGTCCCCAGGGCCAGGAGACGGCCTCCGGAGGCCGAAAAAACTTGAAAAATCGGATGCCGCGAGCTCTCGGCCACGCCCCGATCTGAGGGAAGAGAAAACAGAGCGGATCGGGAGCAAAAAAGTGCATAAAACGTAAACGATGGGAGGTCCGCGCGGATGTCTCGGATCGGCCTTGCAGCCCCCTGGGCGGCGCCTCCGGCGCCTCCCACGCGCCACGGAGGGGGAGTCCAGAGCGCCAATCCGAGAAGTCCGCGCAGACCTCCGACAGCCTCTGTTTGTGCTTGGCATCGCTCGGACGTGTGCGTTTTTTCCTCGGCGAGGACCATCGAGGAGCATCCTTGATCATTTGGCGAAAATACCACGCACGAAACAGAAAAAAACACAGGGAATGGACGTCCGAGCGATGGCGAGTGTACCATTCTTGTATCTCCGACGGAGAACGGAAGCGGGAGGAGCTCGGTGAGTCGGGGCTCAAGAGACGGGGGTCAATGCAAACGGGGGTCAGTCAGAGCGCCGGATCCTGCAGGATCCTGCAGAGCCGGGGCTGCACTTTGACCCTGTCTTTCGCGAAGGATCTTGCAGGATCCGGCAGGGTCTTACAGTATCCTGCAGAGCCAGACTCGACCGGGTCTGGATGGACCCAGGACAGTAGATCCAAGCGGCGGCGGCGACGACGACGACGACGACGGCGGCGGCGACGGCGACGGCGACGGCGACGGCGACGGCGTTGGCGACGGTGATGGCGACGACGACGACGACGACAACGACGACGACGACGACGACGCCTGGACGCCGAGCGGCGGCGGCGAGACCGCTCTGGGCCACCAAGGCCGCGGCGAGCCCAACACGGAGAGGCCAGCCGCCCGCGGCGCACCGCCGCCAGCTCGCCGCCCAGGGTTCGACCCCATGGAGACTGGGGGTTTGGGGGGCGGGGGCGATGACGACGACGATGACATCGTCATCGTCACCGGCGTCGTCGTCCTCATCATCATCAACATCATCATCACCACCATCATCATTGGCATCAGCAGCAGCATCATCATTTCTGTCATCGTCATCATCAGAAGCATCGTCATCATCAGCATCATCATCATCAGCGCCATCGCCATCATCTTCATCATCAGCATCATCGTCACCGGCATCATCATCATGATCATCAGTCTCGCCATCATCCGCATCAGCATCATCGTTATCGTCATCACCGTCGTCACCAGGATCGTCATCAACATAGTCATTCTCATCAACACCATCCACGATCAACAACAACAGCAACAATCATTATAAGACGGTTCGCTCTTACTTGCCCGTGTGTCATTCGAAGCGACTTCCCCGTACCCTCGATACCCACCTTTTTGTTTCTTCGATATGACCCTTTTTGGGGGGATTCTTTCTCTTTGCGGGGGGCGGCGGGCATAGACAGGCGGGCAAACCTGAACGGGCAGACAATCCTTCGTGGGCGTACATGTGTCCGCCATTGGAATTGGTGTTGGTCCTGCAAAAAGAGGAGGAGGAGAACGAGGAAGAGCGGGAGAAAAGGACAGGGAGGAACGAAGAAAGAGGGAAATCGCCAAGAGAGAAGGAGCGAAGAGGGGGGCGGTTGATTAGAGGCAGAGAGAGAGAGAGAGAGAAAGAGAGAGAGAAAACGAAAAAACAAAAAACATATAAGAGAGGCAGAGAGAGAGGGAGGGGAGAGAGAGAGAGAGAGAGAGAGAGAGAACGCAAAAAAAAAGGGAGGGAGGAGGCAGGAGAGGGGCGGGAGAAGGGAAGGGGGACAGGAGGGAGAGGGGATAGGCAGAGAGGCACTAGGATGAGGGAAGAGAGGAGGGAGAGAGAAGGGAGGAGAGGAGGGAGGAGGGAGGAGGGAGAGGGAGGAACAGGAAGGTAAGAGCGTGAACGTTCGAGGAAGTCCTAGGCGAAAGCGCCGTTCCTGAAGGAAGTCTCGGGCGGGAGCCCACGACGGGCGGGCGATCCCTTGACGGGCGAGTCGGGCGGGTGGGACATTCAAGCGGGATGCTTGAGTATGGCGAGAGCGCGATTTCCAAGTAAATTGTGACGGCGTCCTTGGCGCAGCGTTTTTCCTGAGCATCGAAAGCGCGATGTCTGTATAAATTGCATGGAAGTCACAGGCGAGAGCGCAACTCCTGAATAAAATGTGAAGGGGGTCTCTGGCGGGAGCGGGGGTCTTGATTTGATTGCGAGGAAGTCTTGATTCCATTGCGAGGAAGTCTCAAGCGGGAGCGACGTTCCTGAGTAAATTGTGAGGAAGTCTCAGATGGGAGCGGGCGTCCTGACTAAATTGCGAGGAAGTCACAGGCGGGAGCACCGATCTTGAGTAAGTTGTGGGGAATTCTCCGGCGGGAGCGGGGGTCCTGAGTAGACTTGGAGAAAGTCTCAGGCGGGAGCTGTTGTTGTTGTAATCCGGGGGGCCAGGGGCGCAGTTTGAGCATCAAGACTTTCCCTGTCAAAAACCAGGGTGCGAGCGTCGAGGGGCACACGTTGATTGAGAAAAACAGCATGCTCCGGTGAGGGGGGATCAGCCATAAATATCTCTTCATACATGAAAATTCAACAACAACAACAACAACAACAACAACAACAACAACAACAGCATCATCATGCACCGTCATTACCATAAGCATCATCAGTATCTCATAATTGTCATCATCAGCAGCATCATTATCAGCGTCATCATCATTCTCCTCGTCCGCATCATCATCATCGTCATCGTCATCTTCATGGGGGCTTGTCATCGCTCGGACGTGCGCGTTTTGTTCTCGGCGAGATTCATCGAGGAGCATCCTGGATCATCTGGCGAAATATAAGCGCAAGAAACAGAAATACGCACGGGAAATAGGGGGAGTCGAAGCGGGCCAGTTTTCGAGTAGGGGATCGACTACGGAATTGATTCGTCCCAATGCTGATTCTTTCGTCGAGTCTACCAGATATGTGTAGAATGTTCGTAGGGAATCTGCATAGGTCTACGAACATTATCCGTAAGGGCTTCGCCCCCTGCCGCAGGCCCCCTCTCTCGGAGAATGGGCCATGGAAGAGCTAAGTCATGAGGCTTTGGCGCTGTCGTGCAGCAGTATCGGAACTTCATGCGAGGCCGATTCGCAATCGGCAAAACCAACTGATCACAAGAGGGGTTACCACACAGGGCGATTGGTAAGACGTGTATGGCTTACGAGCTTGGTTACCACACCTTGGGATTAAAGGGCCGAGGGAGTACTCGCAGTTTGGGTTACCACGCCTTGCGATGGATGTGCGCGAGGGGTGGCACCGACTTTCAGAAATGTGGCAAATCCCCTGTGTTTTTGGACCCTGACCCCGCGGATCTGCGTGAGGGGTGGCACCGAATTTCAGAAATGTAGCAACTCCCCTGTGTTTTTGGACCCTGACCCCGCGGATCTGCTTGAGGGGTGGCACCGAATTTCAGAAATGTGGCAAATCCCCTGTGTTTTTGGACCCTGACCCCGCGGATCTGCGTGAGGGGTGGCACCGAATTTCAGAAATGTAGCAAATCCCCTGTGCTTTTGGACCCTGACCCCGCGGATGTGCGCGAGGGGTGGCACTGAATTTCAGAAATTTAGCAAATCCCCTGTGTTTTTGAACCCTGACCCCGCGGATCTGCGTGAGGGGTGGCACCGAATTTAAGAAATGTGGCAAATCCCGTGTGTTTTTGAACCCTGACCCCGCGGATCTGCGTGAGGGGTGGCACCGAATTTCAGAAATGTGGCAAATCCCGTGTGTTTTTGGACCCTGACCCCGCTTATCTGCGTGAGGGGTGGCACCGAATTTAAAAAATGTGGCAAATCCCCTGTGTTTTTGGACCCTGACCCCGCGGATCTGCGTGAGGGGTGGCACCGAATTTAGAAATGTGGCAAATCCCATGTGTTTTTGGATCCTGACCCCGCGGATCTGCGTGAGGGGTGTCGATTTCGAGCCCCCCCAGCAATTCAGACAACGCGCCCAGGGGACGCTAAAAATCCCGTTTGGGCCTCCCCCCCCCTCGCGCGGTCAATCAACGAGTTACAGTAACCAGCAAGAAGCAGAACTGTAACACTGGAAACTACAAGCTACAACTGGTACTGGAAACTGCGAACCCGTGCCTCGCAGCCTGGTGGCCCCACAAGGGGGCCGGTGGATATGTATGTTCCTTGGCTTCGGAGAAGATAGCAATCTGCGGGCAAATCAATTCTGTGATCGACCCCCCACTCGCAGGTTCTGCGTGAGCTGGAGCCGTCTGGGGTTTCTGCGGTGGCCCAGCACTGGATCTGGACAGCAGGAAGGGTGGGCAGGTTCTGGGGCTCTGGGTTCGCGAAGGTGCCTAGTCTTCTTCGGCACCAGGGAGGCGCTTTCGGGCACGGGGCTGTGACAAATTGATCCTGTGCACAAGACTGCACCAGAATCGGGGGTTCGTAGAGGGAGGGTTATCCCAAGGTGGGGCCGGGGAACGGGCCCAGCCAGATGCTCCCGTTGAACCCACGTCCTTCTTCCAGGGGCCGGCCGGAGCGATTTTCCCTCCAGATCCAACCTTTGTCCCTGCCCCACCTTTGTGCCCCTAAAACAGGGCTAGGCTCGGAATAAATCGCTCCAGAGCGTTCCGGAGCGCTCTCAGAGCGTTCCGGAGCGCTCTCAGAGCGGCCGCGGCGCCCGATACACCCTCCAAACCCGCCGATTCTCAGAGATTTCGAGTTGTCCCGATCCGATTTTGTCCCGATCTTCGCGTCGTTTTAAGAAGGATCCCGGGAGGGATCTGGGGACCGATGTCGAGTCGGAGCAGTGTGCGGAGGCACAGACGCGCGGAGGTTTGCGCGCGGATATTTGGGATCGGCGCCGGAGCTCATCCCTGGCGGCGCCCCGGGCCCCGCCCGCCCTTGCGCAGGGTCCGGTGCCGAGCCAAGGAGTCCGCGCGGGCCTCGGACACATCATCACATTTGCGCACGTCTTCCCAAGGGGCCCCCAGGGAAGCCCCCTGCGGGCCCCAAGACACTTCGGTAAATCGTATTTCCCAGATAGCTTTCCGGGAACATGATTCCTTGGGCTTCCGCCCACCGCCCCAACCATGTTTCCAATAGGCTTGCCGACAAGGCCAAAAGGCGCCCCTCGGTAAGCCCCCAGAGGCCCCCTTCTCAAAGCGTGGGTTTCCTGCTATTGCTGGGGCGCCTGCCTTCTCACTCACTCCCGCCCCCTTCTTTCTCCCATCGCACTCAGACCCACTCAGACCCGCTCGGACCCAGACCCACTCGAGGTCAGAACACTCAGCTCACACTCAGTTCACTCATACTCGGCCTCGCTCTCACTCAGATCCACGGGCACCCTGTCTTGAGCAGACCCAGGCTGACCCATACACAGACCATTCTCACTCAGCCCCGCCTACACCCAGCCAAGTCATGCTCTGACCCATTACGACATACCGCTCACCGCATGATCATCCACACTCACAGTATGATCGCCGCGACATAGCAGGCGCACTTGCGCACCCCAAAGGGAAGCCTCCAGGGGGTTATGACACTCGCCCGTTCGCGCCTTGATGGTCGGGATGACTCGAGCGGTTTGCCTGCCTATGTCCCCAAGGTTCCTCTCCTTTCGGATCCCCATGATCACCGCGACACCGCAGGCGTGGCGTTCGGGCACCCCGACGGGGAAGCCGCCAGGAGGTATGACACTCTTGTTCGCGCCCAGTGTGTGGGGATGCCTCAAGCGATTTGCCTGCGTCGGCCCCCAGACGCCTTCCTCGTCTGAGAGCCCAGCGATCCTCGCGACACGGCAGGCGAGGCATCTGGGCACCCCGATGGGGAGCCGCCAGGAGGTATGACACTCTTGTTCGCGCCCAGCTTGTGGGGATGCCTCAAGCGATTTGCCTGCGTCGGCCCCCAGACGCCTTACCCTTGAGAGCCCCATGATCACCGCATCAAAGCAGGCGTGGCATTTAAACACCCGAAGGGGGTTACCGCCAGGGGGTACAGTGGAGGCCCATGCCAAGAAACACCCTGCTTGCCTCCAGGTTCCCTGGGTTTCTTGGGTATCGATGGTTTTGCTCTGGAACGCGTGACGTTCCAACATCAAAAACCAATGGACGTCCTGGGGTCTCAGGGCTGGGTTTCTTTGAAAAGATTCCTTGTCGACGGGCCTCCACTGTATGACACTCGCCCGTTCGTGCCTCGATCGTGGGGATGTCTGAAGCGGGTGGCATGCTTCGGCCCCCACTTGCTCTTGAGAGCCCCATGGTCACCGCGGCATAGCAGGCGTGACATTTGGGCACCCAAGGGGGGGAACAGCCAGTGGGGATATCGAATGGTTGCTGTCGGCCCATCCCGCCACCGTGCCTGGGTTGTGGGTATGAGGCCTCTGAGATGTTCGTTGGGGGTTCGTCGAAGCCTCTCGGAGGCCTCCTGGAGGCAAGTTTGAGGCCTCTGAGTGGCTCTTTGGGGGCCTCTTGAGGCGCCTCTTGACTCGTGGGGACCTCTTGGGGGACTCTTGGGGAGTCCTCGGAGGCCTGCTGTCGATCTTCCTGGGCGCATCTTGGGGCGCACCTTGAAGGCTCGGATTTGTGGTTCGTGTTCCCCCTCTGGGGCCCCTCTTGGGACCCTCTTGGGGCCGTCTTGGGGCCGTCTTGGCCGCCTCTTGGGCCGTCTTGGAACCCTCTTGGGTCGCCTTGAGGCTCTCTTGGGGGCCTCTGGGGCCGTCTTGGGGCGGTCTTGGGGGCCTCTAAGGATCCTGGGACGTCTTGGAGCGGCGGAAGCTCGAAAAGTTGAGAACCAAAACAAGAAATCCAACAGCACACGGGACGTCAATGATTTTGGCCTCTCGGGGCCCCCTCGGGAACGCTCTTGGAGGTCTATTCGGGCGTCTTGGGCGCCTCTTCGGCCGACTGAGGCCAACTTGGGCGTCTTGGACCGATGGTTCGGCGATTCGGGGCCCTCTTGGACCGTCTTCGGGGCCTCTTGGGGCCCTCTCGGCCCGTCTTGGAGCCCTCTGCGACCCGGAAAAGCCGTGCGGGAAGACGCGGCAAGCCCAAGACGATTTGAGACTTTGAGTGGTCGGGGCTCTCGGGGACGTCGCGCAGGGAACCCGGGCCGACGCGCTGGGACCATGCGCCGACCAGGACCCCGCCCCAGGCGCCAGGCCGCCTGCCACGCATGTTGCACGGGGGCTCGCCCACACCTAACGTAGCTCGGCCCCTGCCGCCCCCCGCGCCTAGCACGAACCTCAGGAGGTCTTTAGTCTTGGGTCCCCCCTCTGTTCCTATTCGGCGGGGAACAAACTCTCCCCTCCTCCTCCTCCACCTCATCCTCCTCCTCCTCCTCCTCTCCTCCTCCTCCTCCTCCTCCTCCTCCTCCTCCTCCTCCTCCTCCTCCTCCTCATCATCATCATCATCCTCGCCCTCCTCCTCCGCTCCCTCCTCCTCCTCCTCCTCCTCTCGTTTTCCCTCGTCCTCCTCCTCCTCCTCCTGCTCCTCCTAGTCCTTATCCTCCTCCTCCTCCTCCCCCTCCTCCTCCTCTTCCTCCTCCTCCTCTTCCTCCTCCTCTTCCTCCTCCTCATCCTCCTGTTCCTTCTCTTCCTCCTCCTCCTCCTGCTCCTTCTCCTCATCCCCATGCATCCTCGTCGTCGTCGTCGCGGCGGAGATTATTTCCCCTCTAGTGTTGGGCGGGCTGGGTAATGTTTGAAGCTCTCTCTCCCAGGAGAAATGCCCACTGAGCCACCCTGCACCACAGAGGAATGTTGAGCACGTTTGCAAGAGGATTGCAGTGTAGATCGGCACATTCTTCGCCGAAGGTGTTGCTCACAATCTCGTCGTCGGCGTCGTTCTTGCGCGGCTGGTGCAGCGGGGAAGTAATCACTCTGGGCCCAGTCCGTCAATACGGGCGTCGCAGAGATAATTGGTTTCCACCCAGGGGGGGTCTGAAGACCTTCTGAGGTTAGCTGCGCCCCCGACGCCAACGGCCTTGGACAGGGCCTGCGCGGGGCTGGCGAGGAGTCGCGGACTGGGCCTGAGGGCGGGCCGGCGCCGTCGCCACGACCCGATGGGCTGCACAGTGTTGCCGCGCACCCAGGCCCTCAACGCAGCGTGCCCTGCCGTCAGGCCGCCACCGCGTCCAAGCAGGGCACGGGGGCTCACGGCCTCGGCACCTCCGCCAGGGTGCAGGGCATGCATGCGTGTGCCTCCAGCGCAGACCACCAGTCGGAGACGTGCCTTCATGCATCGCCCCCGGTTGCCAGTCAACCCACTGACCTCGATCGCGGGACTGCCCTCACCACCAAAATCGCGACGTTGCGTCAGCGTGTGACCAGCCCTGCTCAGATCCTGCGTAGCATGCAGGAAGAGTCGGGACTCCGTCTTAACAGATTCCAGAGAGCACGGTCCGCCTGGAACGCCCTTCATCAGGCCTTCCGATCGCTTGTTTAGGCCTTTGCCGAAGCAGACGCGCCTGAATGCTCACCGCTAGCACACCAGTGCTTGCCTTTCCTGAGTGCGCTGCGAGAACTGCTGGCATCTGTTCCGCAGCCCTAGCACCAGACACCGCCGAGGAAAATGCTCCAGGGCGAAGCCTTCGTTCACTAAGGTACCGAGGCAGACGGGGTGTGCGACTTCCTGATCGCCATAGATTGTCGGGGACACGTAAGACTCAAGTAAGCCGGAATTCCTGTTTGCCGAAGTTTTTTGACGAGCGCGTCCTGGATTTTGGCGGTCCGGTTTTCTTGGGATGTTTGCAGCGGGAACTCGCGTCACATTTCAGAGTGGGTCTCGTCATTTTCATGGTGGCTCCCTCAGGCCAACCCGAGACCGAACCCGAGTGTTACGTCTCCCCGACATAGACCGGCCTTGTTTTCCACTCGGGTTATGTTGTTCCGACTTACTTTCGCTTTGATCACCAGAAAAAATCGAGCACCACGAAAGTATTGAAATTTGATGGTGTTTACGTGCCGGGCCTTGGGAGGCGATACTCGTTCGACATCATTTCGATTTTGTTGTTGAGTGCTCGACATGATTTCTGGGATGCGGTCCTTAAGTACGATGGGAGCAACATAGCACTCGGGCTCTCTTACAGACCGCGCCCAGGGTGTTGTTTTCAATTCCTGTACATGTCTCCAACAGATGCGAGGGATGCCTGAGCGGCAGCAAGGCCCCGTCAGTCCTCGACGGATTGCCGTCCGAACTGTTGCGCCCTCCTCCTCATCATCCTCTCCCTCCTCCTACTTCTCCCCCCTCCTCCCCCTCCCCCTCCTCCTCCTTCTCCTCCTCCTCCTCCACCTCCTCCTCCTCCTCCTCCTCTTGTTTGTTTGTTGTTTCCTCCTCCTCTTCCTCCTCGTCCTCATCATCCTCGTCCTCCTACTCCTATTACTCCTCCTGATCCTCCTCCTCCTCCCTCCTCCTCCTCCCTTCTCCTCCTCCCTCCTCCTCTACCTCCTCCTCCTCCTCCTCCTCCTCCTCCTCCTGCTCCGTTCCTTCCTTTGCCCTCTCCGCACCTCCTTCGCGGCCTTCTCCCCATCCTCCGTGCGCATTCCCTCAGGAGAGTCGCACCCTGCAGATCGTGGGTGGCGTCGTCCGCAGCCGGCTGACGTTGAAGACCGAGATGCAGGCATTCGGCGCTGTTGAGGTCATCATTATTATTTTCTCCTTGCAAGGAGAATCGGGGAAGCAGATTCCCCATTTTCCGAAGATGAGGAGAAGGAGGAGGAGGAGGAGGAGGAGGAGGAGGGGGGAGACAAAGACGTGCCAGTGCCGCGTTTTTGTGCCTTGTTCAACCTCGGTAGATTTTCCAGTGCCTTTAGATGCCTCCATGCTATTCTTGTTGTTCAGCAAGCCATCGGACATGTTGGATTTGTCATTGTTGATCTTGCCCCTTCCTGTTTTCACTCCTCATGTCGCCCCTCATCCTCCTGCTGTTCCTTTGCGTTTCCTCTTGTTTCCACTGTTACTGTCTGCGTTTCCTTTCCCTCCCTCCCCCTCCTCCCCCTCATCCTCTCAATCCCTATCCGTCCTCCTCCACATTCGCCGAGCTGTCCATGATACCCATCGATCCGTGCATCCATCCTGCCTCCCCGCTGCTACTGCTGTGAACGCTCCGCTTCCCCCTAGGGCGCCGCACTGCTCGCTGCCCCATCTCCCCAGGTCGTGTACATGGGCAACCGGCACGATCCCACCGCGGAGCCACCGGGGCGGGGATTCCTCGTGTCTTCTCTCTCTAGAGGTGGTGGGCGGGAGGTGTGCTTCGACAGGGGGTCTTAAGCGTAAGCAGTGGGCTCTGAACCGCAAGCGTGGTACCGTGAGCGTGGTGCCCGGGCCCCAGCAGGTTCCCAGACCAGCGGAGGGGCAGGTCAGCAGCGCGGCCTGTGGCCTCGTGTGGCCTGACCTGGTCACACTGAGCCATGCGCCCGATCGCTGCGGTTGCCGAGGGCCTCAGGTCTCAAGTTCCGCGACGGCGCTGGTGCTGGGGAGAAGGCGGGAGGGGGGCAAACGGGGAGGCGGGCAGCGGGAAAGGGAGGGGGGGCGGAAGTGCGGGGGGGGGGGGTGCGGGACGGAAAGGGGGGGGGGAGGGAGAAAGGGGGGGGAGGGGGGCGGAAGTGCGGGGGGGAGGGGAGGGGAGGGGCCCGGGCTTCCGCGCGCAGCAGAGACCGCCCAGGAGCCGCCCTGGGTGAGGTTCGAGAAGGCTTCAAGTGCACAGGCGGCCCTGAACGCCATCAATATGGGGCAGATCATGTTCGACGGCGGGCCCGCGAAGGCGGAGTTGAGGCCTCCCCCTTCTGGCACCTGATGCCATCGTTTTGCCACATCCTCCCTCCTCACCCCATCCTCCTGCCCCTGCCTTCCTCCTCATCCTCCTCACACCCACCCTCTCTCCTCACTTCTTCCTAACTCTTCTTACCTCCTCCCTCCCTCCCTCCTCCTCCTCCTCCTCCTCCTCCTCCTCCTCCTCATCCTCATCCTCATCCTCATCCTCCTCATCCTCTCCCTTTTCATCCTCCTCCTCTCCCTGCTCCTCCTCCTCCTACTCCTCCTCCTGCTCCTCCTTCTCATCCTCATTGACCTATTGACCTGCATTAGAAGGTGGGTCCCTGCACGCCAGGGCCCTTTCTGAAAGCCTCACGAGACAGTCATCTCTCGTGGGAGCCGCAGCGGGTGGCAACCTGCGTTCTGAGAAGGGCAGGTTGCCCCGTCGGCCATTCGATAACCCCTTTGGGTTTCAGTCCCTGCGACAACCTACGAGACGCTTTGATCTCCGTTCTTGTCGGCTTCTCACAAGGACTGGCAGGTTTCGAAACCTTTGAGGCGGCCCACCCTCCGCCCTTGGCACAAACACCGCCCCTGGACCAGGTCAAACTGGGGTGGTGGGAGGGGTGGGCATCAAAAATAATATTCCATGGCAGGCAAACTTGTGAAACCCACCCTGGTGGTGGCCTGGCAGAGAAAACAGCGCAGCAGGTGCATCTAACAGACTCGCCTACTAGTTCTCCCACGATGGGATGTGGGCTCATTCCATATTCTCGGAGACGACGTGTTTGGGCACTTTCGGGTATTTTCTGCTGCTTCGGGTTCGGGTCATGTTCCAGGTTAGGATGTTGGACGCATATGCGACGGGATCTGGTCAACTGCTTCTCCTCATCCTTGGCCTCGTCCTCCCTGACCTCCTCATCAGTTAAATCAAAGGACACTGCCGCCATGCGCTCAACGGCGTCGGTGGCGGCATTGGCGGAGTAGAAGTCTACCCTGACGGTCGCGTCGGTGGAGTCCGACGGCGTGGCACGGGCCTGGATCTTCTTAAAGACGGTGTGGTTGGTCTTTTGTAGATGGACCTGCCACAAGAGGGACCACAAATGCGTGCTGGTTCGATGTTTCCAGCCCTCGCCCCATCGGACCCCTTTCACGATGTGGTCGTTATCAGTGACGACGATGGTGGGCCCGTCGAGGGCCAACGCGTAGATAACCGCAGTGGGCTCCACTCGATTGACAGCCTGGGTTCTTGAGGTGGCCCCAAATAGATTCCCTTGAGCCCATTGGTCTCCTTCTCATCCTCATCCTCCTTCTCCTCTTCCTCCTCCTGTTTCGTCTCCTCCTCCTCCTCCTCCTGGTCCTCCTCCTCCCTCTCCTCCTCCTCCTCCTCATCCTCCTCCTCCTCCTCCTTCTCCTCCTGCTCCTCATCCTCCTCATCCCTCCTCCTCCTCCTCCTCCGCCTTCTCCTTCTCCTCCTCCTCTTTCTCCTCCTCCTCGTCTTCCTCCTCATCCTCCTCATCCTCGTCCTCCCTCTCCTCCACCCACGTTCTGCCATCTCCTCGCATTATCGTTACGCGTCTCCCTTCCTTAGCCTCCCCATCCGCCTCCTCCCGTTCCTCCTCATCCTCCTCATCCTCTTCCTCCTCCTCATCATCCTCATCCTCATCTACCTCCTCCGTCTCCTCCTCGTCCTCTTCATCTTCCAAACTCCTTCCATAGTCTTGCATTATTATACTTCCCCCCTCCTTCTCTTCCTCTTCCTCCTCCTCCCCCTCTTCCTCCTCCTCCCCATCCTACTCATCGTCAGCTTTCTCGTCCCACTTTCACCGCGTTCCTCGCATCCTCAATATTTATATATATATATATATACATATGGAGTACATCCTCCTCCTCCTCCTCCTTCTCATCCTCCTCCTCCTCCTCCTCCTCCTCCTCCTCCGTGTCCTCCTTCCCCATCCTCCTCCCCCTCCTCAGCTTCTTCTTCCTCCGCCTCAGCAGCAGCATCATGCTCCTCCTCCTCCTCCTCCTCCGCCTCCGCCTCATCCTCCTCCAATGTCCTTCCAGTTTCTCGGATTATAAGTCTCGGTGTCTTGTTCTCATCCTCCCCATCCTCCCCCTCCTCCTCCTCCTCCTCGTCCTCCTCCTCATCCTCCTCCTCATCCTTCTCATCGTTATCATCATCAGCATCAACAACGTCAGTCTGCTCCTGGTCACACTTCCTTCCACCTTCTCGAAGTATCCTCCCCATCCTCTTCCTGCGCGTCCTCATCATCCTCATCATCGTCAGCATCCTCTTCCTCTGTATTCCTCCTCGGCATCCTCCTCTTCATCCGCCGTCTCGGCCGTCTCCTCCTCCTCATCCTCCTCCTCCTCCTCGTCCTCCTCATCTCCTTCCTAGATCCACCTCCGCATCCTCCTCTTCTCCATCCATCGTACAGTATGTCTCCTGCTCCTCTTCTTCATCCTCCTCCTCATCCTTCTCCTCCTCCCCCTCCTCCTCCTTCTCATTCTCCTTCTCCGACGCCTCCTCATCCTCCTGCTCCTCCCTCTCTTCCTCCTCCGCCTCCTCCTCCATTCTCCTCCTCCTCCTCCTCCGCCTCCTCCTCTTTCCCTCCTCCTCCTCATCCTCCTCCTCCTCATCCTCCTCCTCATCATCATCATCATCATCAGCATCATCATCCTACTCCTCCTCCTCCTCATCCTCCTCCTCCTCCTCCTCCTCCTCCTCCCACGTCTCCTCCTCGTCCTCCTCCTCATCAGTTCTCTTCCTCCTCCGCCTCATTCGCCTCCGCACCCGCATCCGCATCCGATTCATCACCTTCTTCATCCTTCTCCTTCTCCTCCTCCTCCTCCTCCTCCTCTTCCTCCGCCTTCCCTCTCCTCCTCCTCCTCCTCCCTCCTCCTCCTCCTCCTTCTCCGCCTCCTCTTGTTCTGCGCCTCCTCCTCCTCCTCTCCTCCTCCTCCTCCTCCCCTCCTCCTCCTCCTCCTCCTCCTCCTCCCTCCTCCCACCCGTCCTCTTCCTCCTTCTTCTCCTCCTCCTCCTCCGCCTCCTCCTCTTCCTCCTCATCCTCCTTCTCGTCCTCATCCGCACCATCATCATCCTGATCCTCCGCCTCGTCATCGTTCTCGTCCTCCTTCTCCTCCTCCTCCTCCTCCTCCTCCTCCTCCTCCTCCTCATCCTCATCCTCATCCTCCGCCTCCGCTTCTCCTCTTCCCAGTGGTGTACAGATTCTCACATTGACATTAGATGTGTCCAAATCCTCCTCATCATGTCCCTCGTGTCCCTCATCATCCTCAGCATCAGCATCAGCATCGTCAGCATCAGCATCATCGTCATCAGCATCATCAGCATCATCATCAGCATCAGCATCATGATCACCATCATCACTAGCGTCATCAGCAGCATCAGCATCAACACCATTGCAATCGTCACCATCATCAGCAGCAACATCATCATCAGCAACTGCATCATCGCCTTCATATTCAGCATTGTCATCAGCAGCATCATCAGCATCGTCATCATAAACAACATTACCAGCATCAGCATCGACACCATCATCACAAGCATCAGCAGCATCATCAGCATCAGCATCACAATCAGCATCATCAGCATCAGCAGCAACATCATCACCAGCATCAGCATCCTCAGCAGCAGCATCTTCATCCTTAGCATACTGTTCCCCTCATTATCCTCGAAATATATGTTTCGTTGTTCCATCCGCATCCTCCCTATCCTCCTCATCCTCCTCCTCATCAGCAGTATCATGCTCATCCTCCCCATCCTCATCCTCCTCCTCAACCTTCGATCCTCCTCCCCCATTCCTTCCATCTTCTCAAACTATCATTCCGGTCTCCCATCCTCATGTACCCCTTCTTCCTCCTCCTCCTCCTCCGCCTCCTCCTCCTTCTCCTCCTCCTCCTCCTCCTCCTCCCTCCTCATCCTCCTCATCGTCGTCGTCCTCCTCCTCCTCCTCCTCCTCCTCCTCCTCTCCTCCTCCTCCTCCTCTCCCCTCCCCCTCCCTCCTCCTCCTCCTCGTCCTCCTCCTCCTCCTCCTCCTCTTCTCCTCCCCTCCTCCTTCTCCTCCTCCTCCACTCCCCCCAAAGAAAGGGGCCTTCGCCTCTTGCTTTTCCTTCGCCTCTACCTCCTCCTCCTCCTCCTCCTTCTCCTCCTCCTCCCTTTCCTATTCCCATTGTATTGCAAATGTTCGCATTCTCGTTCTCGTTCTCCCATTATCCTCTTCGCAATCCTCCTCCTCCTCCTCCTCCCCCTCCTCGTCGTCCTCCTCCTCTTCCCCTTCCTCCT